GGGATCCATTCCCCTCGCCTCCTCGGGCGTAATGGAGAAGAACCCAGCATCAAACTTATCAACATCACTCTTCAGAAAATACCCTTGTTTGGTATTCAACGTCCCCGCCCTTCCACCATCAGGATGATAAAACCCATCGATGTTGAAACGGCTCTCAGGAACATCACTCAGAGCATTCCTCCCCTCCTTCAGAAGATCCCAGAGATGACGAGGCGAAGTTGCATCACCTGGAAATCTACCAGAGACTCCGATGACAGCGATAGCGGACGAGATGTCGCCGTCTACCTGAGGGCGGCCAGCGTCGTGTTCAGCGCCACCATTGGCAGTGCCATTGTTAGCACCGCCGTTAGCAGCGTTGTGAAAGCCATTAGCGCTAGGATGAGCTCCATTGCCGTTGCTAGTGCCGTTTGCGCCGTTGGAGCCATTGGAGAGAGTCATTGTGAGAGGGGGAAAAGAGTCAGAAACAAAGATTGGGTGATGGGCGCTGGCTTGCTTTGGATTTGACTCTGAAGGAAGGATGATGATCACAGAAACACTAACATGAAAACGACTTGGATCAGATATATGAACTGAAGCATTGCTATAATATGATAGCTACAGTGCAGATTACCCATTGCCGCTCGGAGCTAGCTAGACCGGGTTAACAAGCTTAGGTTTCATCTACCGAGTATTTCGTGCATCCGACTAAAGCTCATGCACGTCTTCGGAAGATATTGACCCTAAGATCGGAGGTTGCGTCAGCGTCGGCGCCGAGAAAATTACCCACTGTACCCTTGTCAGACCGGGCCCGGAAAGTCCGCGACCAATGATAATGAGCCGGGGATAACAGAATTTGAGCTGCCGGATTATTCTTGCGTGATATTCGACGCTCAAAAAGGATCCGTATTTGCCTCAGTGGAATGAAGTTGCAAGCTGAGACATTTTTTCTTTTCGTTCATTCTCGCCGACACGTTATCGGGGCCTCCAATTTCTCGATGCAATGGGTTTAAGGATAAGATACTGCTAGCGAAGTTTACACCTTACCTATTCACTTGTCGATAGACCAGCTACTATCATTTTGAGGTAAGATGTACTCCGTACCCATCTGGGATATAGTAGAGGCATGTTGCTCGGGGTTTATTTACCATTAATAAATATTAATATCGGCTAATTGGGGAAGTGTCTTATGCGCCCGTTTTCCGAACCTTAATACTAATAAGGAAGCCATGCATAACTGGCTCTTGTCTTAACCTGAGTTACCTAAGACATCTTTCAAGACTGGAATTAATAGGAGAATAGGCAACATTTAAGCATCCCTTAAGAGATACAGCTGCATTATACTTTAATGCTATAGTCTATGGTTGTTATTCTATATAGGAAACTGAAGAGTTAGTGACTTACCTCTTGCAGGAGGGAAGTAGATCAAGGTTTAAAGCTAGCAGGATTCAGGTCAAAGCGAAAGTTCAATGCAAAAGGCAATCAAGGTAAACAAATCTAACTGCCGTCTTTAGAATACGAGCTGCTTTTATTACTGGCATCTATAAATTAATGATCTTGCCCTCCTTTCTTCTGTTCTCGATACTTTCTCATCTCTTCGCCAGCCGGTTCGCCAGAAAACACTGCCGTCACTCGAAATCATGAAGCCTGTTACCATTCTTCTCGCGCTTACCAGTACAGCCTGCACAGTGTCGGCTGGTTTGCCCCGTTTTGGTTCGTGATATCCTTTGTGATCAAAGATACTTCCGTTCTGACTGTACCCTTCACACAGCGAAATGTACCGCTGCTTCGCAGTGCAATTCCGATTATTGCTCCCCTGTACGCAATGCGGACTGCGACGAATTCGTCAATTGCCGTGGTAAGTATCCTCAAACCATGCCTCAGAAGGCTCCGGAACAGGGACTAACTACTCGAAGACAGCGTATGCTACGGTGCTTCAGTAGACTGTAAGCCAATCAAGAAATCAGGTCTTGCTGCCACTGAACTCACTGATACGTAGCGCCGTGCTCGAATGATTGGGAATGCAACTCCAACCATTGCAAGGGTATACCATTGACCACTCTATATGAAATCTTTACTGACGCATTGCAGGAGGAAGGTGCTACGACTGCCGTGATCCTCGCAACCTTGCCAAAGCCAGGCCACCTTACCTCTCTGTAGGCTGTACGTCTTTGACTTGAAGTTTATATCCCTATTTGAAAGCTGATGTGTCTTTAAAAGCTTCATGTACTGGATTCGGAGATCAATGCTGCGAGTCGCAGTGTAGAGGTATGTTGACGGACACTGGTTATGGTCTGGATTGAGCAAAGCTAATCTGTGCGCAGCCAACACTCAGGGGAACATGCAATGCATTGATAATACGGTCATCATGCAAATGGGCGGGCATGGGCCGTTCCCGGTGCAGAATGGACCATCCAGGCGTTGATTCGACATGACAATGGTTGGACTGTATAAAGATCCCCAGTTTGAGAAACCTGGGATGTGGATACTGGCATTTAATTATGCACATTGATAAATATATATAGCTTTAGTGCCCTGTCTCTGCCGCTCCGTTTGTAATAAAGGAAAGGTATTCAACACGTCTTTGAAATTAGGGATAACATCTGATTTGGTACATTGTCAACAAAGCGGCTTTGCTTTTGGTATAACGTGCTGGGAGCGAGTTTATGGCGGTGCTAAGAATTTACCCTATCTTGGCTGTAGAAAGGCGACCGAGTCTTGATCAAGCAGTCGGATTGCTGTAATTTAAACCGAAGCCGAGGTATCCCATGTATAGAATGAGGGGAAACATATCCACTTGCACAGAATCAGTGATCTCAATTTTTAAAGACGGGCATTGGTCTTATTAGTGTAACCTTGTGGATAAACGGTTCCTGACAAGAAAGCGGCTGAAGCATGTTATTTGCCGATCTTTCCCCACAATCTCGCCTCTCCCCAGATTTCTCCGCGTATGACCTCGCTCCAAGCTCCACTACCCCAGATGGTTCATTGAGCGATTGATAAAGATTTATCCGCCCCATGATGAAACGGCATCTCGGCACACAGTGCCATTTGACTGTAGATGCAGATATCCTTGTCTACTACTATATATACAACGATACTTTAGCGATAGAGAGAACTGAGACTTTCCAGTATCAACTCCCGGCAAGATGAAGTCTCTCACATCATTCTTAGCAGTTGCTCTAGCTGCGTGCACTGTCACCGATGCTCGTGGACTACACTATCAATCCGAAGCTCCACTGAATATCAAGACAACCAGCGGTCATCTGTCAGGTTTTATCAACAAGACGGCTCCGGATGTTCGCCAGTTCCTCGGTGTCGCCTACGCCGAACCTCCTCTCAAGTCCCTTCGCTTCCAACCCCCCAAGCGAAAGCACAGCTCAGAGCACGTTTCAGCCAAGAAGTACGCGCCGTCATGCAAGCAAATCATCAGCAAGAACCCAACAGTCTACACCGAGCACATGCCCCAGTTTCTTATCAATGGTGGCGACTCTGAGGACTGCTTGTATCTCAATGTCTATGCTCCGTTGAAACCAACTGCAAAGAAGTTGCCTGTCTTTATCTACATCCCCGGCGGTGGTTTTACAGGTGGTGGTGCAGACTCGCTCTACAAGATCCCCGATAAGTGGATTCAAAAGACTCAGTCTCACATCGTTGTCACCATGAACTATCGCGTCAATCTCTTTGGCTTTCCTAACGCTGAAGCTGCCCAAAAAAACGTCGGCCTTCTTGACCAGCGCATGGTTGTTGAGTGGACACGTGACAACATTGCAGCCTTTGGTGGTGATCCTCATAAGATGACCCTCTGGGGCCAATCTGCTGGTGCTGGCTCAGTTGGCATGTACGGATATGCTTATCCCAAGGATCTCATCGTCAAAGGGTTGATCTCTGATTCAGGTGCTCCGGCTATGCTGGCCAAGGTTTATGGTAACCACTCCAGCTTCGACACCCTTGCTTCTAAGGTCGGCTGCAAAGGATTGGAGGGCAAGAAGCAATTGAAATGCATGCAAAAGGTCGATGCTTCAAAGTTGCAGAAGGTATATTCTGAGACACCAACAATCTCATTCACTCCTGTTGGAGACAACATCACTGCGTTTTCTAACACGACTGACCGACTTGCCAGAGGTTTGGTCACTAGAGTGGTAAGTTGCACTGATGTTCGTTAGTTATGGTGAAAGTCTTACTGACATGCGATAGCCATGGATCTTTGGCAACAATGCCAATGAAGGTGCTGGCTTCGGTACATACGATCCTAACGGGGTAACACCAGCCCAAACTGTTATTGGACTACAGGCTATCGTCTGCCCAGTTGCTGCTGAGGTCAAGTAGGCAACCCCCATATGCCACAACGTTCGTGTCGCTGACCTATTATCCCAGAAACCGTGTCAAGTACGGATACCCAACCTACAGATATTACTACACCGGAAACTTCTCCAACATTACCCCTCTGCCCTGGATCGGCGCAACCCATAGCGGTAAGTACACTATTTCAATTTGCAGGTTATCTTCTAACATGACGTAGCTGAGCTTCCTCTGCTCTTCGGAACGCATTACGAGTACCGCGGTAACTCCACCAAGTACGAATGGGAGGTTGCCGAGGGGATGCAAAGTAGGTTTCACCAACTACACTTTCTCTTAAAGGTAACTAACTAATGTAAAGGTCTCTGGCTCTCTTTTGCAAACAACCCCAAGAAGAACCCTCAAGTTGGAAAGATCACTTGGCCTTTATATAAGCCCAACGAGAACAAGATGGCTGTTTTTGCCGAGGCTGGAAAGAAGTGGTTTCAGTTGGGCAGAGGGTCTTTGACCGAAACCCAGTGCAAGTAAGAGAAAGGGGCCATATAGAAGTGTAGGTTACGGATGGCTTTGTATTTAGCCTGCGTGAAGCGAAGGGTATTTTATTTTACCTTGTAGTTAATGTGCTCGCTAGTTTTATTACTAATAGTTGACTGGCCTCTCTCGATTCTACCGCCCGACCAATGTCGCTTAAAAGAATCCTACGCAGCTACAGCAACTTTCTTTCTCTATCTCTGACAGCTATCCTGTTCAGTTGTCTCTGTGATATTAAACTCATATCCAATCTCAGTCTTGACCTGTAAACGGTTGTCATCCTTTAATACCTTTGCCGGAGGGATATGAGGTATGCTATAATTCGAGCCCTGGCCGACATCAACTGTGCTAAACTCATGCATACTGATAAGAGGAGGCTTTTCGGGACTTGGCTCGTTCTGTCGCATTGTCAGGGTATAGCCAGTGACATGGGAGATTATCGGAGCCGTGCGATCGGGTTTCGCTACGTCTGGTGATATCAACGCCAGCTCATGAATCTACCAGTGACGTTCTTCTGACTAACTCTCGCCCCAGAGCGCCCGGGGCATTCCTTTAACATTTGGTTGCGCATTAAGAGCGACTTCACCGCCTCCGAGTCCCTTCAAGCTGACGACGAACTCTGATTGTCCAAATTTCTCTGTTAAACGCATCGGTCGTGCAAACAGGTCCGGTGTTGAGATCTGGTTCTGATTATCGGTTATGATACTTGCCAATGGCTCCGTGTAGCCGCTGGTCCTGGCCGTCAGTAAGGGAACGCGGGCTTGCACTTCGATACGCATATTGGCTGTGAAGATCTTGATCGGCCCAACGGCATCCTCGGTCCCGTCCATAGGTGCGCGTCCGCCAGTGATACTGACCACATGTCCCGAGACATTGGCACCTAAATCTCTTACTCTATAATATGCTAAGTCCTTGCCCTTTCCTCTATATAACCATCATCAATGCCATTCTGCAGCATCCTCTGAATCGTACTCCACTATCAAATCTTTTACTTTCCATCCTCAATTAGTTTAAGGCAATAAAACAATGTTCGGAATTGCGGAAAGAGTCCAAACGGCCCATTGTCGCATGCAAGAGTTCATGTTATCAGGTTTGTGTATCTAGAGGTGGCAGACTTCTAGCGTATCCTATTCCGTTTTAGGGTTAGGGTTACTTGCGACGGCTTATCTGTACCAACGATATAATCGCCCTGCTACATAGGGTTTTTCTCGTCTTAGAAACTCATGCGACATACAACGTGATTTCGAGCCCACGTCTACCGCACCAAACTCAAGTTGGAAGTCTCGTTCTCAATGAGCTTTTATGCTCTACTGCCTCAAATACATAAGTGCTTACTTTGTATGTTTGATGCGAAAGCCTTCCTCGTTTGGGGATATTGTCAGATGTCAGTCAGGGTAGCTGAAACCATAGGACACTTTTCATTCACACCTATGGCTCTGTGTTGAGAAGGCTGTTGTTTTTTAGGCTGCATGGAATAATAGACTCAAACCATATAGACATGTATCACAACAACTGATTAAAAATGTTTCGGATCAGCATATATATGACAAGTATCACGAAGGATGGCATTTTATTTTAATTGTTACCATTGGAAGCCAACAGTGCTCCTTGAACATTAGAATCGAGCTGGATACGCCATAATCGATGGTCGTTCAAAGCGAATATATGCCCACTGGGCCCGAAGCAGAAGTTGGCAACCCCTCCCGGAATGATAATCTTACCCAAAAGCACTCCGCCAGGAGACCAAACATTAACTCCATCTGGACAACCACTATATACATTTCCTTTAGTGTCGCACTTAATACCATCAGGAATGCCACCGTCCGCAAACGCGAATAATCGACGGTTCGCGAGAAACGGTTGCCCATGGCGATATATCAGATCGAATGCATGACTACAGTTAGTGAGACAAATGCTGTGAAACAAGAGGAAGCTTTTTCTAGAGTATGATCCTTACATGGAAGAAGCACGAGTATGGTCAATAGTAAGCCCTCGCACTTGGTCTGTATCTGTAATGTATACAGTCCTTTGATCAGGCGAAAAGCATATACCATTTGGTCTTCCAAAAGCATCTGCCATAGCCCTAGTACTTTTCGTAGCAGGATCATATCGATAGACAAGGTTTGGCAGACTGGGCCGTGGCCGATAACCTTGATCATGTCCATAAGAAGGATCTGTGAACCATATGCTACCGTCATTATGTACCACCACGTCATTGACTGAGTTGAACGGTTTCCCCAAGAAACTCGTCAATACGGGCTCGGTTGTGTACGGTGGTGAAGCTTGCATGTAGAAAAGGCCGCTGGGATTGCTGCCAGAACCTTGAGCGCAAAAGAGTATCCCTTCCCGATAATTGACACCTCCATTAGCGAAGTGGATGGGATCGCAGTCGATATTCTCCAGCTTGGTAGGTCTAGTGTTGTTTCCTAAGGAAATCTTGGAGATCTGCACTTTTGTTTCGCCAGTCGGGCTTTTGAACTGATTGCTCGTAATGAAAAGCTCGTGCGTCTGTTCAAAAAAGACTCCAGCTTCATGTGCAAATGGATAATCGTGCGTGTGGAGAAGCAGCTCGATCTTTGGGCTTGATCCCATTATCCACTCGAAGTCATGGTGATGGACCTCCCACGTCTTGTTTGTAACAACATCGTCTTTCATGATTTCGACAGCAGTGATAGTTTTGTGCGCGGTTATAGTGCCATTGACCAACAAATGACCGTATCTTAAAAGAGAGAGTGCTGTAGGCTGTTTCTCTAATTGTGGACCATCATCACGGTAAGTTAGTGCTCTTTTCTTCGCATTAGGTGCCCTCGAGACGAGGTGTTAGCTTGATAGGTGAGTTTATAAGCAATTATCTCCTAAGGATCTCCACACACGATCTCCACATGTACTTTATGCCCTGCCGATTGGATGCCACTGACACACTGATAATCTACTATATAACCCTTGACAACAAGGCTAATAAGGTGGTAGAGAAGTCACGCAGAACAAACCTGCGTCCAGACGAAAGCCTCTACGAAAACATGACTTCGAACGACTGGAAGGTGACAAATCGTCATTTGCAAATCCTCCGAGCCGCTGAAGATGGCAACTACGGTGTTCTAGCCGCTATTGCTTACAACATCGAGCAGATTCTGGGTCTCGTTCGCGCCGCGGAAAGAGCTCGTTCTCCTCTCATCCTTCAATTCTTCCCTTGGGCTATCAAATTTTCAGATGGCCTCCTTATTCGTACGGCCGCCGATGCCGCTCGGCGGGCGACCGTGCCCATCTCGATTCACCTCGACCATGCTCAGGAAGAGGATATCATCAAGTTGGCGGCTGATGAACTGCCCTTCGATAGCATCATGGTCGATATGTCACATTACAATAAAGAAGAGAACTTGACCAAGACAGCTAAATGGGTCAAGTACTGCAATAGCCGCAAGATTGCAACTGAAGCAGAACCAGGACGCATTGAGGGGGGCGAAGATGGAGTTATGGATACAGCAGGGTTAGAGGCAAGCAAGACAACGCCGGATGAAGTCGACCAGTTCATCGCGACAGGTGTAGATGCTTTAGCACCTGCATTTGGCAACGTACACGGTGAATATGGCCCGCAAGGGCCTCAACTGGACTTTGAGAGGTTGGTCAACTGAATTGATGAATGAGAAATCCCAGCTTACATACCATATAGACTCGCCCTCATCAAAACGCAAGTCAATAAACGAGCCAGAATTGCTCTCCATGGTACGAATGGGTTCCCACCTGACTTGATGCACAAATGTATCAAGGCCGGTACCACCAAGATCAACGTCAACAGAATCGTTCTCGATGACTATTACGCCCATTTGCGAGCCGAAGGAACCATAAAACAATCTCATACAGCGATAATGGAGCAAGGAGTGGAGAAAGTCATAGACCAAACAGTTGAGTGGATGGAGATTCTCGGATCCGCTGGCAAGGCACCTCCTCTGTAACCTCGGGTTTGCACGTAATCTAGTTGCCAAATTCAATCACGCCACAACTCCTTCATCTCACGACCTAAGGAGTAGCTGGGCCAACCTGCTCGTCGGCTGCACGTATCGAGAATGTTTAGGATTCCAGAGCGCTGGTCTGGGTCCTCGATAACCATTCCGGCTAGCATCACACTAGTTAGTTTTCTAATCCATAAGTAACGAACAAGAATGGTTTAGAGTATTTACCGATAAAAACACATTGTGAAGATAAGACGCTGGATGCATAATCACTCGAGACTTTGGCGATGCCACACACTGTACTAGCCCATCGCCTTAACGTTTTTTGCTTACTTAGATAATCTTGGTATCCACCAGCGCAAGGTCGGTGCAAATTCAGTAGTATAAGTGAGCAGTAGTAAACTTGCATTGATGCAGCTAATGTTGTTAATCAGCTGATTAAGTGGTTGGAGACGAATTTACTGACCAAAAGAGGGTGGCTGGATCCAGATTTTTGGAAACGGATTCTTTTCAGAACCTGGAGTAGGCATAGGAAGAGGCTGAAACTCGCAAGTCAGATAAGAGGCCCAATCTTCTAGCTGTCGAGAGAGTCTATCAGCTTCCTGCATCTTGACAGCTATGTAATCCGGAATTGTGGACGGATCATCTCTGGCACAGAACCCAACGACATGTGCAAAGTTGTAAATGGAGCGCGCTGCTAATTCACTTGGTGTTAGGTCAGCCAGATGACGATTCGGCATCCAGAACGTAAATGGTTTGCGTTTCTCACGGAAGGCTGCCCAAACATCCTGGCACAGCCAAGCCCACCAAACTGCTTGTCTCAACCCGTCAGAGTGTCCATGGATTGTTTGAGAACGTTGTATCCAAAAACCACCTTTAAGGTGCTTCTCCCAATCCGCATTAGAGCCATCGAGCATTTCGTAAGCTGAGATGATGAAGGCACTGGCTAAGAGCTCGAGGCTCGTCTTATAGCTATGGTATTGCATGGCTTCTTGGCAGTAGTGAAGCGTCTTGTAGTAGTAGTCGATGGTGTCATCATGCGTCGGGCGTAACCCTGCCGCATTAGCAGGCATATCGCGATTCAGTATGTCGAGATGACGGGCAGAAAGAGCGAGGATGGCGTTCATGAGTCCAACATTGTGTAACTACTGCCCAATGAGAAACAGCTGGGGATTAGAGGAGTAAGGCAAACCTACAGCGAGATGAGGGACTAGAGTGCCGAATGGCCTTTGAGGCTCGAAAAGATCCATCTAGAGACAAGGCCTTGTTAGTCAACTAGACTGCGGCTCGCTTCCTTCGCTCTTCCCTTACCCATTGACTAATTTGTTCTGTAAAGTGGCGGAACAATGTGAGTTCTTGTGTTTGAAGACTAATAGGCTCTGATGCCTGCCACGTTTGGTGTTTCTCGCGAGATCCGTCTTCTCGAGAAGGAATGCGTTCTCGTAAGTACGTATTGCGCGTCTCGACTCTCAACCCGTTCGTATGTGGCTCAGGTGGTCCGATTTGGTCGTTATCGTAAGATGCACCTGCTTCTCCTGATATCGATGGGGACTGCGCAGCGGAATTGCCAAATATGTTGGGGCCATCTGGACCAGGATTGGTCTCAGGCAATGGTCCATGAGTGATGGCCGCGTCTCCGACCAGGAGATCTAACCATTTCAACGTCAGTGAAGCATCCGGAGAGCTTCCATATGACATAGATATGGGGTGGTATGGAAGCTGAACGGGCGATGGCAGACCGTAAACTATAGAATCGAGATAAGGATAAGTCCCATTTCCATAGTCGGTGTGCGACCCGAGGCTGTTGGGGGGTACCTGTCCAAACTGCGTATTTACGTTCCTTGTTTCCTGGTTAGTCTCTGTATGCTCCACAACAATAGTATCGTATGATTGCGAACTATTGGCGGGCAAGATTTGATCATCCGTAGGCAGATGCGCGTCCTGTACACTTATCTCGTCGCGAGGCTGGTCTTGCTGTTGCCTCAAGGAGGTAGGCTCTGCCGTGATAGTAGCTCCGCTAGGAGAAGCTGCTTGTTCATGGTGGGGGACTTCGGCGTTACAATTCTCTTGGTTTGAGGTTATGGGACTTGTTTGCTGTCGAGTGCGCCTATTTGTGCCCTGAACTTTGCCATATTCGCAACGAGTTTTTTTTCGGGTGCAGCCACCGCAACGCGGCCTGATCTCGTCGCATTTAATGTGTCGTCGACGACAATTCAAGCTGAATAATTGCCTAGATTAGCTTGACATGCTTGAGGAAGCTTTGATGCATGCTTAGACACTCACCATCCTGTGGTTTTGCGCAATCCCTTGCCACGCGACAGTCTCCCTCGGGTAAACGATCGCGGTTGTTCTGCGGTTATGCTCTGATTGGACTCCATTGTCCGTCACTCAAAGTCTGCAGGGATCGAAAAGAGATAACCTGCACCAACTCATCCTATTGAAGGCAGTACATTTGAGTGGTTTGTGCCGAGTGAAGCTTCGTCTTGCTGAGTGGAGGTGAATTGTTCTGGCCAACATGCGAGGACAGGGTTTGGAAGGCACCTGAGACATATTACTCCGCACTCCTTCGCCGCTAAGAAACCGTCCCCTCCGCTACGCTACGGAGTAACTTAGTTGACCCGTTAACGCCAACAATCCGCTTCTGGGGAACAGAGGGTCACAGGACGCACTGCCCCAAAATTCACAATAATTTGTTTTCCTATCTGGTGTTCGCCGATGTAGTATCGACATTATTTCTACATGGACCCGCAGAGCAATACAGTATATTTTTAATAAAGATTTTTGTATCAAATTTATAGACATAATTACAAACTCATGGCTTATTACATATTAATAATGATTTTCTAAACTCATAGGTTGATAATATCCCATTTAGGTGTCGTTTTCCATAGGGGTTACTACTACCTCTAGTACGATAGTCAATACGATCAATCTCATGAAACGCTACGGGTTTTAGGCTATTGAAGATGGACGTACATGCCACCGTCTACTAGAAGCTGAGCTCCAGTCACAAACCCACTCATTTGGTCTGCAGCAAGAAAAACGGCTGGTCCAGCCAAGTCCTCAGGCCTTCCTACCCGGCCCCAAGGGATTCGATGTTCCAAATACTTACGCTTCTCCTCGTTTGCCATGTCCTTATCGGCCAATTGAGTGTGAATTGTTCCTGGCAACAGAGCATTGACCCTGATCTTATCTTTTGCCAGCGCAATCGCCATAGATTGTGTCATGGAGAGGAGAGCCGCCTTTGTAGGAGTGTAATGAACCTGTTGCCCACCGCCGAGAAGCGCGCTGATAGAGGAGATACCGATGATGGAACCTCCTTTGCCTTGCTTTACCATTTGTCTGGCTGCTGTTTGGCAGGCGTAGAAAGCTCCGTTGATATTGACTTTAATAGACGTGTCAAACATTTGCTTGTCGATGCTGTAAATTGGTCAGCCTTTCTAATTAGATGAAAAGCGAGATAAGTCTTACTCGAGGAAGCTGCAGGCTTCAAAAATGCCAGCATTGGCTACAAAAATATCCAATTGTCCCCATTTCTCAACCGCTTGAGCAACAAGCCGCTCGCTCGTCTGCGGCTCTGTGATGTCACCTGCCAATTCGAGGAGCTGACCAGTCGGCGCCCCTTCGGGGGCTTCTCTTCTCAAACGTTTCGCCACTTCGATCAGGCTCTTTCGAAGCGGTTCATCTTTAGAGAGTCCCAGGTGGTTGATAGCAACGTTTGCACCTTGACGAAGGTACTCAATTGTGATGGCGCGGCCAATGCCTGTTGTACCACCAGTGATGGCCGCAGTCTTGCCGGCTAAGAGTCTGACTGTCGCGCTCATGTTGGTCGTGGGGAAAAGATGAATTGGCTGATACTCGTCGAGTGAAAGGCGAATAAAACCCTGAGACAGACGGATCAATCACGTTCTTGAAAGGGTCCGAGGCGATCTTCTAATCATGAGAAGTTAGATCTAAACTGAGGTCAGTCTGCCATCTCTAGTCAAACAAAACTCCCTCCAGTCGGGCTCATTATTCTGAATGTTATTGCAATTACCCCGAGCCGAGGGCACGTACTCCACCTAGGCTTGACCCTGGCAATTAGCCACTCATAATTCCTCTATCTCCCTCGGCTCGAGGGTAAAGTCTCACTAGCCCGTGCTCCCCACATCAGCAAGGTTTACCCCAGAGGATATGGGTCTACAGAAAGTTCATTGGACCGACCATGGGGAAATGGAGCAGTATCCGCGCCATGACTTCATACCACCCCAAAACGGTTTGTACATTGGCTAACAGAATATTAATTAAGGCTGATCGAAACGTTAGCCTACCCCTTTAGCACCTTACGGAGCAAGCAAAGCAGGTGTTCGCAACATAACCCATACCCTCGCCATGGAATATGTAAAATATGGAATCCGAGTCAGCTCGGTCTCTCCCAGTCTAGTGAGACCGCCATGGCATACTAGGTACCTCAACAACCTGACTAGGAGCAGCAAATGAAAGCCCATGGTGGGATGCCCTAGCTTGCTTAGATTCAAGGCTTGGAGGTGCTTATGTCTATTTGCTGCTAGTTACATCACACCGATCGACGTTCCTGTCAATGGTGCCATGCGAAGTAGCCTACTCATCCCCTAGATAAATTTAAATACATCTAATCTAGTATAGCTTGCTAAGCTATGGCGAATGGGTTAGGAGGCTGATATTGCAACTGAAGTGTACGAGGCGCATGGCTGTTGAGAGACCGTATAGTACATCAAGCCTTAGATCATTCATAACCAGAAGGATGTCCAAATACTTACCATACGGCAGAGTTCCAGATGAAGACACAGTACCTGTACTTTGCTCGCTTGAATCGAAGGGTTTTCGGGGGTAACAGCGATATTACATAACTTCTTCTTCAGAAATCCCAGGTAAGACCGACTAGCTCCCTAAAACAATTAGATGAGGCAGCTATAGGCCTGTCAGAAATTAAAATCTGTAAGTAGGTGTTTCGTTAAGACAGGTCGAACTTAGGGGCGTTCTTCATCCGACCTAGACAATTTTATGCTGTTGCGTTGCACTTACCCTACGGCAGTTTCGTCTGTTTGCAGAAACAGCCTAATAGATCTGTTCAATTTTCCCATCAGATCTCTCCTGAGGAGTTGGATACAACCATCCGCAAAAGAAACACATCTCCATGGTCCGATCACATCAGCGCTTATCTTTTTAAAGCCATGTGATATGCCGTGAGGGCGCACGTCCGCCCACGTGTTTGGAAAGTGTCTTTGTATAGTCCAATACTCAAAACCGCTCCAGGAGGCAAACGTGCTTACGATAGTCAGACCATCTTCAACACCGAGATCTCACATCACCGCAGGCTTAATGGACTGTATCTCTGCTCTCATACAGCAAACTCAGGGCCGTCCCGGCAGTACAAAATGGTGATATCGTAGAGCCGTTGCGCATGAACTCTAGGCTGGCTGGACATATGGCTTTATAGTAGCTTCTTATCTTGATCTATATAGGTAAATGTGGTTCTAAGCGTAAACGAAGAAATTATGGCAACGTGAATCCTCCATCAATGATAACATTTGATCCAGTCATATAGCTAGACGCGTCGCTGGCGAGGAATGTGTACAGCTATAACAATTGAACACCTTAGTAATTTCCTTTCGTTAAGTTTGGAAGGAATACTCACGCCTTTCAATTCTTGAGGTTGACAAGTCCGACCGCCGGGTACCTGGCTTAGCCACTTTGACATAAGCTCTTTGGGCTGCTTGGTGATCACTAAAGAATCAGCTTCGTTTTCTTTCAACGATGTTAGTTGTTTTTATACCTACTTTCTGTGTGGACATAACCTGGAGACACGCAGTTCACTCGAGCAAAATCAGCCCACTCGACGGCCAAAGACTTAGCAAGCAGCAAAGCTCCGGCCTTGGAAGCGTTGTACGCAGCTTGTGTTTGCGGTGTATTGACCAGGCTGGCACTGACGGAGACTGTAACGATTAAGTTTCCTCTTCCCTGCTTCTTGAAGATCTTGCCGGCTGGAATCGCGGTCCACATGACACCGTCGTAGTTAATCTTGTTGATGTAATCCCAAGTGTCTTCATCATATTCAAGCGATTTGACGTTCTGACACACACCGGCGTTGGCTACCATGATATCCAAGCGGCCATCGCCAAACGTCGACACAATACCTTCAATGATATTAGCAATTGCCACCCTGTCGGCAACATCGGACTTGTAAGCCTTGACCCTCCGGCCAGTTTTTTCAGAGATGTCAGCCGCCAATGCATCGGCGGTGACACTTGTGCGGTAAATGAAGGCAACGTCTGCACCAGCCTCGGCGAGAGCGGTGACGACTTGTTGGCCGATGCCTCGGGATCCTCCAGTGACAATGGCTATCTTGCCAGCTAAGGAGAACTGCGACAGCACAGGGGCGTCAATATTCTCTGGTAGGTTTAGGGGCATGTTGACAAAACTATGATTTGGCGTTATACTGTAGTGAGACTCTGTGTATTCTGTTGTGTACGAGAAAGGAGATAGATTGCTCTCAGCCCTTATATGATTATCTGGAACGATCCTTCCTTAGCGAATACACAAACCGTCTCTGACTTCTAAATGATGCGGGCGACCGAGCCGAGACACGTCTTCCATGCACACGGGTGAAGACCACGATCGGCCTCTAGATCTAAATTTGCGGATAGGCACGGAATACGCTGGGCTGGAGGATTATCAAAGTTCGGCCCTCGTCTCGAGGGATAGCTCCTTTAGCCGTCGCGGAGTGAGGCTTGTTCGGGTTTGGCTTTGGAGAAGGCTTGTCGAGTCAAGGGTTTGTAATTCTTTCACGATCTTATTTTCTCCAGGATATCGAACTGAAACCCCAGGTTCTGTCGAAGGAGGAGAAACCGGGGCCCCGGATTACGTCACACTACCTCCACTCAGATTAGGATCTAAGCAGCCATCGCCTAGGTCTTCGAAATCTCTGAGCGACGTCCGTGCTTAATGGTCCTGTTCGTATATATAGGCGCCAAGGGCTCCCTGAAGAAAGTGTCCATTCGAACATATCTTGCGCTATAAATCTCTCATACCGCCTAGATATCTACAATCATGGGGTTACTCACCGTGGACCAGAACAAGTCTTGGATGGTGGCTTCCAAGCTACAGAAGCGTTCGCTGCTAATTGCAGTCAATTGTCTGGCCGGCATGTCAATCTTCTTCTTCGGGTAAGACCCTACCGAAAAAAGGAGGTGATTTTGAATCTGACATATATGGATAGTTACGACCAAGGACTCATGGGTGGCGTGAACCAAAGCACAGATTATATCTACCGCATGGGTCTTGGCCATCTCGACGAAGATGGCAGCCCTGTCATCACCGAAACGCTCCTCCAGGGAGGCATCATGGCTATCTTCTACCTCGGCACACTAGTAGGATGCCTTGCGGGCGGCGCTTTTGGAGACAAATACGGACGTATCGGCACTATAGGTCTCGGAGCCGCCTGGGCGATCTTTGGCGCTTCTTTACAATCTGCTGCCATGAACAGGTCCTGGATGCTTGGGTCTCGGTTCGTCAATGGCATTGGAACTGGTATCTTGAACGGAATCGTTCCAGCTTGGGCATCAGAACTTGCAGATCATACAAGCAGAGGAACCTTTATCGCAATGGAGTTCACGCTTAACATTTTCGGTGTTGTGGTAGCCTATTGGATAGCATATGGGGTCAGCTTCGTCAATAATGGCAACTCCGAGACCCGCTGGCGATTTCCCATAGCATTTCAAATCCTTCCTCTTTTGTTCCTTCTTTTCGTTTGCTGGGCGTTTCCAGAGTCTCCTCGCTGGCTTGTTAAAGCTGGGCGCAACCAGGAGGCTTTGTATATTTTGGAACGTCTCCGTGGCACAGAGGGCGAGGATTCAGGAGTTGCTGAGGCGGAGTACAACGACATTCGCAATGTCATTGAGCTTGAGAAGAGCTCCGAGGGTACATCCTATATCCACATGTTATTTGGCCTTAAGTCTGGCAAGCTACATACTGGCCGCCGAGTTCAGCTGGTCATCTGGCTGCAAATCATCCAGTGCTGGACCGGCATTGCAGGGGTAACTATGTATGGACCAAGTAAGTGATTACTTCTGCAAAACAATATCGTCGATAAAATCTCTAACAAAGTAATAGCTATCTTCCACATCGCCGGCTTCGGACCTAGCAAGACGCAGTGGGTTGCTGGACTCAACAACATCTTCTACATGTTCTCTACTTTGATCTGCGTCGTCACGATCGATAGAATTGGTCGACGGCGGACTCTGTACTGGGGCTCAGTCGGACAAGCCATCTCTATGGCTCTTGTTGGTGGGCTTTCTCGAGGAGGACTCAATTCTCGGGCAGATGGTAATACTGGTGTTGCCAACCAGTGGGGAGCTGCGGCAGCGTCGATGGTGTATCTATATACCTTCATCTTCGGTGCTACCTGGCTTACTGTTCCTTGGCTCTACCCAGCTGAGATCTTCCCCATCCATATTCGTGCAAAGGGAAACTCTTGGGGCGTTGTCGGATGGAGCATTGGGAATGGGTAAATAATCCCTAACGAAATCCCGGGAGTTTCTTATGACTAATGTCTTGGGCAGCACTCTTACTCTCGTTCTACCATACATCGTTAGTGCGATCAACGAAAAAATGATGTATATTTTTGCTGCCGTCAACGTCATCAGCATTCCGATTGGTAAGACACCATATAATCCGTCCTTGTTGGCAGAGAAACCTGACCAAGTAAACCATCAGTATATGCTTTGTACCCCGAATCCAACCAGAGAACTCTTGAGGAGATGGATCTGTTGTTTGCGGCTCCTACACCTTGGGCATGGGATGCTGAGAGGACATTCGCAGCCATGAAGGAAGAAGCGGGAGCAGTTGGAGGGCTCAAGGGGCATAGTTCTGATGTCGAAGCCAAAGGCGATTCATCTTCTCCTCGTCACTTCGAGTCCATTTAGAGGGTAACGGGGCAAGAGATGGCTCCTCCAATGTCGATTTCGGAACTGCTAGAATTAAGTCTGGAATCAGGTTGCTTTATCCCTCCATTGACGTTTATTTATAAAACCTTAGTGCCGCAGTGATATAAAAGTAGTATGTCTTTCAATCTTCATCGAACACTCTTCCAACAGGATACGAAGTGGCTAATGGGTCGTGAAACATGATATTCAATGGAAACATGGCTACTTGTGGGGGAGTTGAGACTTAAAATGGTGCTAAAAAACAACCTCTCTGGCAACAAGGAACAAAAAAGGGGGTATCTAACTGTGAATATTATGTTACTCAAGACAGAGAGTAGCGATTATAGTGCCCAAACTGACGTAATCATATCAATGCTGGCTTATGACGTGTAACGAATTGAGGGTGAGAAGACTGGGTCTGTTGCTTCAAATGCTTCCGACTCCAAAGATGTGGCCCAAGATACTTTCTTGCGGAACAACAGATTTGTATGATCACGTCCCTAAAAGGAGAAAATCACCTCCACAAGTCAGAGTTTGCAATTTTAAGTGGTTGTATTTTATATTTCGATGACGCCAGGAGTCAAATTAGTCACTCAAGCTTTCTCGATCAGGACTTAAGCCTTCTTCAGTAGCTAATGCGTTCGACCATTCATTGTCCCCTCGATTCCCTCAAGGTCGCTGTAGAGCCTCCACTGATAGTCCAGACTAGGATCATTGAAGCGTGCCTTGATATCTAGTGTCTCAATAGCTTTCATATCCTCTGGATCAAGCTTGAAGTCAGCCTCGACATTCTCTTTGATCTGCCAATCAATGGTACTCTTAGGGATGACAGAACGGCCGTTGTTAATGCCCCAAGAGAGAACTATCTGCACAGCACTCTTGCCATATTTCTGGCCAAGTTCTTCGAGGAGTGGCTGATCAATGACACGCATCATGTGTGACACCTCTTTGCTCCAGCCTGTCGAGCGGTAAAAGTCGTTCATGTTTCCGAGTGGACTAAATTGGACCACATGAATTCCTTGAGATCGCAGCCATTCGTTGAATGCCTTTTGTTGTAGATAAGGGTGTACTTCCATCTGGTGAACGGCTGGGACCTAAACGCATAGAACTGTCAGAATTCGTCTTGGGCAATCTCAAGCTTTCGTAAACTTACCACTGAGCATTCTTTGATGAGCTTCTCCAACTCACCCTTGCTAAAGTTTGAAACTCCAATAGCCTTGACCTTGCCAGTCTTGGCCAACTTCTCCATAGCCTTCCAAGTATCAACATAATTTGTTTTGCCCAGAATCATCTTGCCATCTTTGTCCCTAGGGAAGCGATCTTCTCCCCTGGCAAAGGTGCAGGGATAATGCATCATCAGAAGATCCACATAAGGTGTATCGAGATCCATCAGACTCTCATCCAAGGCCCTCTCAACATCATCCGGGTGAAAGTTGTTGCACCAGAGCTTTGTGCCTAAGAAAATTTCTTCTCTAGGGATACCGCTGTTCTTGATGCCCCTTCCTACTTCTTTCTCGACGTTATATACTCTTGCGGTATCGATAAGACGCATTCCTGCCTTCAAAGCTTTCGATACTGCATGTTCTTGGGCATCAGGGTCTTGGAAAGTGCCAAATCCAATGGCAGGAATGCTAGCACCTGTGTTCAGTTTAAAGCTTGTTGTACCAGTGGCAACACCTCTCGTCTGAGTTTGTTGCTGAGTTTGCAGCAGGTTACGACCTGTGACGCGCAGAATAAAATCTGTGCTTATCGTAGAACGTCGGACGTGTTTGAGAGCATTCATCGTAATGGCCTGGTAGGTGTATGTCTTGGCGGGTAATGGCGTTGTAAGGTGTAGGTACTTGGAAGGTGCCTAATGAGTGCTTGACTGAGGTAATTGTTATAACAATAGATGGCACTGATATGATGTTCCTGGTAATGGAGATAACTGCCTCGAGGCGCAAAATCATATAGAGTTTACGAGGCGTCGGCAACATGACCCCCGCATAGAAGCCCGATGCGAGGGAGTGGTTGTGGAGACATTACCCACCATCATTACTTCAAGGGCTTAGTTGGGCGATGCCCTCGCGCCGAGGGTTGGCCAAGCTACAAAGCACTAAAACCCCCCCCTTGATGGTCAGGGGGTCGAATACCTTCTAGACTTTTTCTCCAGATTAGAGTTACTTTGTCAGTTCTTCTAACGAACCCTTGAGCCGGGAATATACTCCGCAATACGATGAGTGCCACGAGACGAGGGCATGATCGTCGAGGAGTGGAGGGACTACACAGTGGAGCAAGTTACGCTCGACTGATCCACTTTTACCCCAATGACTCTTCTCTTGTAAGCCTTCCATCTTCTTAAATTGTACCTTGTGATGCGCCTTGCATCTCCATATCCAACACAACTCGCCTACCTGTGTCAGAATATCCAAATCCATACAAAGATGACTATTACAAATAATATCCTCATCACCGGCGGCGCCGGGTTCCTTGGGCCCATGTTGGCCGCCAAACTCTCACAAGACCCCTCCAACCGAATCTTCTTGACAGATTTACATGAACCCCCTACACCCAAAGGTCTTGCTGATCCTGCAAGATGCTGCTGTATTGGCGCCGATATGACAAACTCCTCAGACATCGACCGTTTACTCTCTCACGCTGCTGATTGGCGCGCTATCTTCATCTTCCACGGCATCATGTCTGTTGGATGCGAAGAGAACCCAGCCCTGTCTCAGCTCGTCAATATCAATGCCACTCAGGCGTTACTCACAACCATATCTAAGCTGGGCAATGGTTTCCGCAAGCCCAGAATCGTGTACGCATCGACACAAGCTGTGTACGGTCCACCTTACACTACTGGTGGGACCATCACCGATGATACTCCTGCCACACCTATTGGTGTTTACGGTACACACAAACTCATCACCGAAAGCTTTGTCAATGACATGAACCGTCGTGGCCTAATCGACGCATTCAGTGTTCGTCTACCGACAGTCACTGTCCGCCCTGGAGCACCAAGTCGTTCAGCTGCGGCCTTTCTCAGCGGTATGGTGCGTGAGCCCATGGCAGGATTGGAATGCATTGTGCCCCTGTCCAATAGGAATGCCAGACAAATCATCTGTAGCCCACGCATCATGATCAACAATCTCATCGCTCTCATCAAGGTTCCAGCTGACGCTATGCCACCTCATATCCGCGCTATTTATATGCCTGGTATTTCAGTCACTCTAGGTGAAATGTATAAGGCTTTTGAGGCAGTGTGTGGTGCCGACAAAACAAGGTTTTTGCGTGAGGAGGAGGATGTTGAGGCGGAGAGGTTGCTAAACAGTTGGCCACAGACATCGGACTTTGGTAATGCTAGGAGGATTGGGCTGTCTTTTGATGATAGTTGCAAGCAGATCTTTCAAGAATATGTTGACTCTTTATAAATATATGGTTAGTAGATATTAAGCAATGATTGTAAATGGCTGTGATAAAAGATTATTGTGGTATATTACTTGGTTAAAAAACCCAAGTTTAATGTTATATATATTTAGGAGACCCAGGCCGTCTTAATGCACCCTATCTACTGCTTAAATTAAGCCAACTTTAAAGCTAATATATATACCAATATATAGGTATATTAATATAATACCTACTTTAAGTGTAAGTATTATTAAGAAAATAATTTAATAACCTTTTCTTATTATTAAATTAATAATATTCTATTAAGTATTACTAATAAGAAAGTAGATAAATATAAAGGTGCTTTAAATATAGTAAAAAGACTTAAGTTTTAAAGAAGTATAATAAAGTATAAATATATAAAATATCTTTTATTATACTATTTTTAATAAAGTTATTTTATTTATTTTAAGCTTTTATAATTAATTATATAATAGCTTTTAATATTTTTCCTTTTTATAAAAATAATAAGTAAATTTCTTATAAACTTTAATAAATAATACCTCTATTATAACCCTTACGGTTATATTATATATACCCTATAATTTTCCTATAAATCCTATTGATTATAAATAGATTAAGTAAACCCTTTTTAATCTATTTAGTTTAACCAGTTAGGATAGAATTAAAACCTTATAATATTAGTTTAAAACTAAAGGATTAATATTTTAATTCTTAATAGAAATACTAATAAATACCTTATAAATAGTAATATATAGTTTATACTTATTTACACTTCTATAGATTTAGCTTACTAGCTATTAATAAAACTTCTTTATATTAATTAAGCCTAATATATATTAAATTTACTATTAAGAGATATAATACTTTAATAACCGCTTAGCATTATACCCTATATAATCTATTAATAATAAACTTAAGTATAGCTTAATTTAATATAATTAGACCTAACTGTTATAACCTCTTTATAGATTATTATTATTAAGTAAAAAATATAATAATATATATTAACTTTAAACTCTTTTATATATTATATATATTTTAAATATATTATATTTAAAATAAGCTAATTTTTATTTAGGCTATATATTATTATAAAATATTTTTATTGTTTTTAATTATTTTATACTTAAAATAATTATATAATTTATAACTTAAGTTTTAAATATAAAAGATTATTAATAATATATCCTTTTATTAATTAAAAGTAATAGCTAATTAAAAACTTAAAGTTAATAAACTATATATATATTTATTTTATTTTAATGCCCTTTAGGTATTATTTATAAATAATTTATTTTTAATTTAAATCATTATTTCTTTATTAATATTACTTTATTTATTTTTAAATATAAGGTTAATTAATTATATACCTAAATATATATATTTAATTAATAGATTTATTATTAACTTTAAGTTAATTTAGCTTTTATTAACTAACTTACATAAAAGTTAACTTAATTCCTTTAAACCTTTAAACCTTATTATTACCTTACTTTTATTTTTATATTAAAAGTAATACCCTCTTTACTGTAATAACCCTTTTAGCTATATTAAGAAGCTACTCTTTATATATATTTAAATTTAAGCCTATAAAGGCAGTAAGGAAGGCAGCCTGGTTTAATTTAAGGGGATAACCTTTCCTTAAGACCCTTTTTAGGTCTTTTAGACCTAATAGCTTATTATTAACTTAAGTCAAATTAATTAGGCTAGAAGGGCCTATATAATAAATTAACTTAATTAAGTTATAATTAAAAATAGCTATTTTAATTAAATTAAATTAATATTTTAATAAGAAGTTCTTTTTAATAGTAATTACTATTATATAGATTTCTTTTAATTTTTTTCTATTATCTCTCTATAAAGTAGGCCTAATAGCTATATTAAGGTTATAGCTAGTTATATAATAGGCTTAATTATATAGCTATAGGCTATTTTATATAGTAGGTATTATATTAATAGTTATAATTAATATAAATAGTTATAACTAATAGATATAAAGAAAGTTAAGTTAAGAAATATATTTTAAAAGTATAATAAACTTAGCTTAATATATAAATTAATTAATTAAAGATCTTTTAGTTAAAGTAAAGAAAAAAGGCTAATATAGCTATTAAGGGGCAGTATTAATGCTGCTTAATTAAGGCAGTAATTATATTATTAAAGTAAATAAACCTTATATAATTTTAACCTTAAAGATATAGGCTTACTATAAGGGCCTTATTTTTAAGCCTTTATATATAAAGTTAATAGCTTAATAGCCTTATTAGGCTAATAGTAAGGGAAAAAAAATAAATAAATAAATAAATAAATAATTTATTATAAATTAGCTATTAAAATAAGTAATTTTACTTTAGTTTTTATATTTAATTATTTAATATTAAGTTAAATAGCTAATTAATTAAAATTAATATTAACTTTATATTTAAAGTTAATTAATATAATATATAATTAACTTTAAAAGTTTAAATTAATTTTAATTATAAATACTTAATATCACGACCTAACAGGATATAGCACTTACATTACATATACCCCACAAAAACTCACCAACCAGACACTAACTCACACTACACTACAAAAGAATAATTATAAACCGCCCTATTAACTCACAATAGACTTACTATCAAGACTTACAACTCACCATAAGCCTGCCTTACTAACCTATAAGCTGCCAATATATATATACATTTATTTAGTAGTAAATAGAATCTAGCTTACCAGCTATTAATAACATTTCTTTACCTTAATAAGCCTTACCTATACTATTAACTATTAAGAGATATAATGCCTTACTAATATACTTAATATAACGCCTTATATACCCTATAAATATAAACCTAATATAGACTAGTTTACCTATTTAGAAACCTAACTGTTATACATTAATAGCTCTTATTCAGAACGTATTACATTAAACGACTAAGCAATAATATACTATCAAGATATCTAGTAACGCCAGCACCTTAATACCTCCTTACACTAAAGCACTACCTAATAACGCCAAGATAGCAGCTAAAGTTCAATAACTTTACAACACTATCCAAACTCTACAGGCTTAAATAAACACATAACCTATAGCAACTAACAATAAAAGGGAAAACCCTAATAGGTTCTAATATAACATTAAGAAAGCCCTAAAACCCCCTAAACCGGAACCCTTTACCAGAAAGGCAGCTAATATAATTCTATTCCTTACCTAAATAAAAGCACACTTTTACCTATTTCCAAACTACCTAAATACTACTATAAAGAAAGTATTATATACCTTACCCCTAATTTAAAAAGACACTAAAAAATAATAAGAACCTATTATATAAGACTTCCTTAATAATAATAAATAGTTACAGAAACAAAAGACTTAAAATATCTTTACAAACTAAAATAATTTCAAATAATCCCTTAAAGATAACTTTAAAGTAATTAATAAAGAAAGACAGGCAGCAGCTAAATTACTTATACTTAAGCAGCATAAGTCATATACCATCTATTCCACCAAATTCAAGCAACTTATATCCAAAACTAAATAGGATAACAATACTCTAATAGAAATATACTATAGAGGACTAAAAGAAGAAGTTAAAAACAAACTATACATTACAAACAGACCTAACAATTTAACTATATACATTACTATAGCAATTAAAATCAATAAATAACAGTATAAACGCAAAAAAGAGAAAGCCAATTATAAGAAAAAGAATAACTTTAACCCTTATTACCCTAACCAATAACAAAATAACAACAACCAGAATAACTCTTAAAACTAATAATAATAAAGAAAGTATTAAAATAATACCTTATATAAGATACATAAAAGATTAATAACTCTAAAAGTTATGTAACCTAATAATAGAAACTGCAAAATATATAATATATCTAAATATAAATATTATAACTATAACCAGTTTAGATATATAATACAATAATACCTACAGCTAAGAAGGCCATAAGACCCTAATTACAATAGGCAAATATTAAGACTAACTTAATAAAATATGCCATAAATAGCCACATACACCCAGATGCTAGAGATAATATAAAGTAAATATAACAGACAGTTTAATAAAGGACCAAGCATTACCTAGATTAAGCTAGAAGACCTAAAAGAACTAAATCATAAAAATAAAGTTAGAAAAAAAAAATGCCCTAAAAGTAACCCAAAAGAAAAAAAAAGATAACTCCAATAAAATAAAAACAACAAGAGATATTACAAATATTATATAAAAGATCCTAAAAAAAAAGAAAAATATAAAAAGAGATAACAGTCTTAATAACAGAAATAACAATTAAAATAAATAAAAACCTTAAGGATAATAAAGAAAAGAAAACTAATCGCCTCTAAACCAGACTGACTAAATAACCCTTAATAAACCACTAATAAGAACCCAATCAAGATAACTATATAAGCTATAGAAAAAGCATTTAAGAAAAAAAAGACCTTAAAAAATAAGCTATAAACCCAAAATTACTAAAACAGCTAAAGTATAAAACATAAAAGAGGAATGGTATAAGCAGCTATACTATACCTCTACTATAAAGATAAGCGCTTAAAATAGAAATAAAAAGAACCTTATAAATTACTATATAATAAACAAGAACTAAAGTATTAAAATACTAATAAAGAAATATATATCTAAATAGCAAGAGAATATACTAATACAGATAACCTATTATCACTCTATATCCAAGCCTACTATATAAATAATATAGCAAACCCCCTACTTAAGGAACCTAAATATAACATACAGGATAATATTAAAATACTGCTAATATATCTATAACACCAAGAAATAGCTTAAATATTATATAGATATCATTAATATAAGGCATATAAATAAGATAAGAAAGATAATAACTACTTTCCAATTAAAATCCTAAATATATTAAATAATAAACCCTATTCTAGAGAAGAAATAAAAGGGTATATAGTAAATTATTAATATAAAAATCTAAAAGTAGTAAAACTACAGTTTAACATAACGCTATACAGAAAAAAGCATTAAATCAATAAGTTAATATA